TCAAATAGAAACTGTATAGAAAATTTTTTTAATAATAATATTAGATATTGTATTAAAAATATTAATTAGAATTATTATGATCATTAACTGCATAAATGAATCAATGATTATAAAAGTATAACCTAACCTAAATCGTACATATAATATAATACAAATTTGTAATTATATTAATTAATATAAATCTAATAGTACAATAAACAAATTAACATAATAATAATATGACAATTCACAATGATACTCGATAATTAACTGCATAAATGAATCAATGATTACAAAACCATAACCTAACCTAAATCGAATATTATATAACATCAATCCAAATGTATCAGTTTCTAAAAGATCGTTTCATAATTATTAGCAAAGATCGGTGTTAGATAAAAAAGAACAATTACAACTACTACTGAAGATTAAAAACAGAAACAAAAAACTACAAAGTAGGATGGGAAGAGGGGTAAGGAGAGGAAGGTTATGGGGGAGGAGTATGCGGGTAGAGAATGCAGAGCAAGGAAAATAGTAGTATTTCGAATAACTTCCTAGAGGCGCGCCTGTCACGAAGCCCCAGGTCATTGGTGTGGTCACCCCACCCGTTCTTATCTCACCAACTGATGTCTGCGGGCCATCTTTTAAAAGGAACACACCACACTCACTTCTACCTGCAAGAGAACACTCTAATCTCTTTCTCTCTTTCTCTAATGGTGAACAGAATGAATACTAGCACATGCTGCTGCTGCTGATGTTGTTGTTGTTGTTGTTGTTAGTGGTAGTAAAGTTAGACTCTCTTTCGTCTTTTCCTCCTCATAGGTTGTCAAGGATATAGTTACAGTTAACAGCAAAGTTTCTAAACATGATAAAAATATCTTCCCGTCGATAAACCTAGCAAACTGAGAACTCTCTAGGCAAAAGGATTCGTCCGGTTGGTGGAATCGTTTAATTCAGAAGGCAAGCAAGCAACCAAGCCAGCAAGCAAGATGCCTAAGTGTATATATAATATATATATATAATATCAAGTCACGATTATTCCGGTTCAGCTTTTCTCTTTGCGAGCTTGTTTAACAAAAAAAAAAAAAAGAAAAAATCATCATTGAACAATCGTCCGGCACCGCCCATTTAATAATATACAACTTGATTTTTAACCTAGGACTTAAAGTACATATTGAAAAATTTGTTTCTAAATATTTTTCAATCTTTATCATTAATCCTCTAGCCCCCTAACCTTATCCCCATCCCATCGCAACCCTTTTCTTCGTTTAATTCCTCAATTTGTTGATTTTATTCGTATGTTTGTTATTTCAAAGTTCTCACAGAGGGTACTCCTGTTTGGACATTAATCATCGTCATTCGAGATAACGGTAAAAAGTTAGCAAAAATAAATCCGTTCGCTAGGAAGTTTGATCGTAACGGGAAACTTTTTAACAGGGATTGGATTAATGATGAAAAGAAAAAGATTGAAAAAGAGGATGAGAGACAGGACACGCACGAAAAGCTTCTTCTTCATCTTCTTCAGTTTTTTCTTCTTCGTTTTATATACTTCCGTGATAAAAAGTGCATGTCCCGATCGATTATAAACACCATGACAGCAAACAACAATTGATCTATGGAATAATCGTTCGATTTCGGAGACCCCCATGATCTAAAAGTAAACTCTCATGACCGTTAACTTTCATCGCGACGATATTATTATTCTCTTCTCTTGTCGGAGATATTCTAAACAATCGTTATGGGCACGCCCATTTATGTTGGTAGATTTATATATATGTTATACATATATATATATATATATTATAGGACTATTGTTAGGTAACAACCATGTTCCATTTCTTTATATACTTACTTCAATGATTCTTTTACATGTGTATTGAAACGCTTTTAATCTTATGGTCTTTTGATCAGGAAGAAACTTACCTAACCTATTTATGTTGTTTCATTTGGAAAAAGAAACAATTTATTTTACATTTTTATTATTATTTAATTTATATTATTTTCTAAACGTATTATAAGTAATTCTATTATAAAATTATAATTGTAATATGATTTTAATTTGTTCAATTTTTTTGTATTATAATTATTTAATATAAATATTAAATATATAAGAAAAAAAAAAGGGGGGAATAACTTTAATTCCGCCATTTTTTTTTATGAGCCATCTGTAGGAAAATTTTGAAAGCAAAGTTGTACATCTTACATTTTATTATATTTATTTATTAAAAAATATAAGAATATCATTTATTAAACTATTTTCTAATAGTATATATATATATATATATATATATATATCTGTTGTGAATATTCCCATATAATTTTCTATACTGTATAAAAAAGAAACTACGTTAGTAAATTGTGTGTTTGTGTATGTTAGAAGAAAGGTTTACCCATTTCACATTCAACATTAAAAATAATAATGTATCTTAATAAAAAAAATAAAAAGAACATAATTGTGTACTCAAGTAAATTTTACTCGTCATTATTAACTACAATTAGTTCTTCTTTTGATTTTTTTTTTTTTTTTTAAATTCAACAATGAACTAAATAGATCAAGCGAGAAAGTTGGCAATTAAATCGGTCACAATGTTAATTATTTTTTCACGTGTCGCGTGTGTTTGAAAAAAAAAAAAAGTAATAAAAATAAAAATTCACTAACCAAATTCGCAAGACTTTCACCAATTTAATTTTAAATACGAAGACATCTTTTTTTTTTACACGAGATTCTTATTATAGTTAAAATGTAATTAACCGTAACAATAATGTATATACATTATGCGAATTAATGTCGCGACAGGTAACGGTAAATACGAGAAGAGAAAAGTGTTATTTAGTTCAATTGATACGTTTTAAAAGAAATTGCCGAAAAAGAAATCGTGTAATTTTGGTCACCTTGTGAAAAAAAAAAAAAATAAAAATAACATTAGAAAGAATTTAAAAAAAAATTTTTTTTATATTTCTATATGTCGTATAATAAATGTGACTCTGTACGTAAATATGTACAGAAATGATGTGTCTCGGAAATGACTTGCAAATATTTCCCAGGGTAACGTCCTTGAATTTTAACGAACATTTGCAAACAAAACAAAGAAGAACAACAAAAAAAAAATCAAATGAGTAATATTATAATTATGTGTAACGTGACGAGATGTTAAGAAATATTTTATCAAATTTCGTAATATATTTTTTTAACAGGAATTTTTCTAATCAAATAATAAAAGTAATCAAAGAAAAACACACACACACACACACAAAAACTAACGTAGTTATAAAATTAAATGTACTAGTACAATATGATACAGTACATTACAAAAAAAACAATTTTTTGTAATAGTAATCGTTCAAATAATTAACATAACCTCAACTCGAGTGTAAATTAATAAAAATTAAAAATTTCATTAAACTAATATTAACAATATAATTTCTAATTAAATATATAGATTACTATTAAATTATTAATAAAAAATATATAAATTATATAAATAAAATTTGTCATATATATAAATATATAATTGTAAATTAATTAGATCGAAAGAAGATATTAAGATGAAATATTTGTTCTTGTGAAAATCGTTTAAATTATTAACCTAACCTCTTAAACTCGAGCTAAGATGAAATTTGTTTTTTCTTTTTCGAGACACCCTATAGAGAAAATATTTCGTATCCGTTGGTGCAAAAGCGGCGGAGGGAAAGCAACGAATAAGAAGAAGTGAACTTCTTCTTCTTCTTCTTCTTCACGGTTCTCTTTCGAGGTAGCCAGAAGAGAAGAGAACATCATAGGTTTCTTCCAACACGATTCTACCGGCCGTGTATAATTTTGAGCGACGAGTGCCCTTGCCGTGGAAATTATGAAACCGGTCCGTAATTGGAATTTGACTAATGACAACGTCAGGCTTCGTGTATATATCCTACACACTACGGGTTCGCGTGTTGTAAACGTTGACCGCGTCGTGTGCACACGGAATGGGAAAGCAAACTTCGTTTTCACCGTGACGAACGTAAAACTGGCGCCTCTGATCGCTTTTCCTATAAGATAGAAAGAGAGAAGAAGATTTTACAAAAGGTTCGCACGATGATAGTCGATTAAACGAAATTACGTGTGAAATTATTTATCATTGTCATAAATATATACAAGATAAACTATCTATCTTTCTTAAGAATCATCATTTATAATCGTTCGTTTAACAAATACATCCAAAAATATAGAAATTTGTCTCGAAAAGGGATTAACCAACTAATTTTTAGGTTATGGTATTTTACGATTCACGAATGCACTCGTTATACGACAACAATTTAGTTATGCAATTCTTTTTGTTAATCAAAATTACTATTTTTTTTTATAATAATCGAAAGACCTAAACTTATATAAATAATTTTTGCAAAAATTATATATACAGTGTGAACAAAATGGAACCAACTGTATTCAACAAAAATCCAAATATACTAAATTCCTAATGAACATATATAAAAAAAATACATTTGAAAACCTGAATAAAAATAATTATCAATTGATCCTCGCAAAATAAAAACCCTGTATTTACTTGAAATCTCATTGTTAACCTATAAGTTTAAACTATAACGCGCAAAACCTGGTAAACTATTTTTATCATAGTCTGCCATCTATAATCACGAATATTATAACAGGAAGAAAGTAATAAGACGTTTCTAATCGTAATAATTAATCTCGTGACTCCCTCGCCTACCGTGTATATAGCTTTTGAAACGAATCTATATAACGCTGTCATTAAAAGAACGAACCCCAACGTATTTCCCGATTATATACTTCGTTTTAACGAACGATTTAATCTAACTAAATATACAGTATAATACTCGAATGGCATGTCACGTGATGTGAGGGAGAGAAGGGTGGGGATAAGATCTATTTTTATAAAAGAAAAACGTTTGTTTCGCTTGTCATGTCTAACAACGATGATCAAAATCTCTTTCAAATGTTTCATATGTGGGTCATAAAAGGAAGGATCAATTCAATCATAGAAGAAATGGTGTCTTATTGGTTTCAGATGGCGCATAAAGAAGTAAAGTTGGATTCGCAGGAGCAGCAACAGAAGGAACAGTAGCTTTTGAGAAAGGGCCTGGAGGAGATCCTGGAGGAAAAAACGGAGTTTACCCTCTCGAGGAGGACGAGAGGACGTCATAGTCCGTCTCGGTCGGGCGGCTAAGACGATGGCTGCAACTGACGGGCAAATTGTCGTGGCGGCCGCACGTTGGGCCGAGGAAGCGACTTATTTACGAGAATTTGTCACTAAGTATCGCCTGCCGGCTGTGATCAAGATAACTAAGGGTCAATATGGTGGCCTTGGTGTACCAACATTGCCAGCGCCGAGTCTTCAAAGCACGGCATTGCTTGTATCGGCTGGTCGTCGACGCAAAATTGTAGCACAGGCTGTTAAAATCAAGGAAGGACGCAGAGTAGTTGGAGTTGGACCAAGATTAGCTATTCCGGACTCTTATGCTGGATATTTTGAAATTTTAAGCGAGGAAGGTCGAGCGGTGAGTTCAGTTATAATGATCATTGGGATAGTGTTGCGTATTTCGAGTTAATGTTAAGATTTATGTTAATCCCGTTGACTCTATAGGTTCGGGGAATCGAGTCTGTAAACGAGCTATCTCGAAGATGCCCGGAGGAGGGAGCTTTGGTAAGAGAAACGGTACGTGGAATAGCCTGCAGGGTAGATGATGAATCTGGAATCGTCGTGCCTGAAGGAACAAGAACTCTGGCCGCTGGTGAGACAATCGTGACAGCTGGGGAGGTAGCATTACCAGGTCGTGGACGATTCTTAAGATGCGTCGACTGTCGAGGTGATAGCATTCTTCTGGGTATGGATCAACGTGGACGCTTCAGTGCATTAGCCAGAGAAGACAACATCAGTGGGGTTCACACGGCGAAAGCTTTGCTGAGCAAACGTCTACCACTAACGGTCAGATTGGTTCACGGGCAGCCACCGAGAGGCTTAAAATCCTCATCCCAGTTCGTGCCGGAGCTTAGGCTCCTTTCGACCTTCGAAGAGGAACACGTGTTCGCTTTGCCCTTACAGAGAGAGGGAGCTGCCGTGGCGTTACCATTGGCGGCACCTTTGAAATTAGTCAAGGCGAGAAATGAGGAGGCCCTTAGACTGATGCAAGAATTCACGAGGTTGATCGAACGAGCCTCACGGCTCGTAGCCGACGTAGCTGATCGCGCTCATGTTCTTGACGGTCGTTTAGGTGAAAGTAAACCCTCAAGACAGACAAGAAGTGCTTCGGGATTTCTGAGGCGATCATCGGCTAACTCGGAAAATGCTCCACTGAGTCATCATAGAAACAGCAACGGCAGTCATCATCATCATCATCATCATTATCACAGTAGCAGTCATCAGACATCCTCCGGACACGTCGGATACCGGGACGAAAATCGCGTGCCACCTTCTTCCTGCACCGAAGATTACGACGAGATAGATCAAATTTACGATTACGTTCGTGGCTTTGCACCTTTGCCCAAAAGCGTCAGATCTCCTTACGAGAGTCCACTGAATCCCGGCCAAAGTTCCAGTCCACCATTGACACCTGTCACCGTAACAATTGCGCCATTGCTAGATGATAGACCGGAACCACCACCGATCGAGACCATTCCTACGAAGAAAATTCAAGCTGAAAAAAGAACGAGGCGAGCGGTAAAAGAAGCTCCTCAACCGAAACTTGAGAAGCCACCATTGGCAAAGTTGTACGTTAAAAATAGTGGCACTCAAAGAGGACGTCCTTTGATGAGGCAAAAAAGCGCCTCACCTTTAAAGGAGACACCACCTGGTTATAAAGGTGGCTCTCCTCTTTTCAATATACGCTATAAGAGTCTGACAAATTTGCAACAAGCTATGGAACTTGATGGGACTTTAGATTCCAGTCATTCAGGTGGTAGGACATCCGGTGATTCAGGTGCTGGTGCTAAACTACCAGAAAAGAGGTACATGAAACAACGTTTCAACAAACAATATCGACACGTCAATTAAAATCCTTATTATATAATTTGTTTAATGTTATTTAGATCGCGACGTTTGAGCAGACCACGATCGTTGACAAACTTAGTCTGGGAACTTCGAGGTGGAAGCGGGCTTGGATGTACGAGACCGGAAACACCACCACCCGCTACCACTGCACCATTACCACCGACCAAATGTGGACCCCGTTTAGCTGTCACGGTTGTAGCACCTCGACGCGTCGGCACGCTCTACCTCTAACTCGTAAGTTATTGTTTTTTAATTTACATATATAAAATTTGTCTAAGGAAATATGATTGAAATCATGAAATTAACCAAGGACTCGCGAAGCCCCAGGAAATTGTTATACAGCAATATTTTACTAGGCGTTATAAAAGATGCACTTGAATTGCAACACAGAGACAGGCAGTAGCTAGCACAGCTTCCCTATTGCCATAAGTCCTTATTCGTTTAATCGTCATCCCCTCTGTCCCTCTTTTCCACTACCAATACTTATAATGACGTCTAGGAAACGCACTTCTCCCAGATGGTTCAGGAAGTCCCCCGATTACCACCGTCGGCTGTTGTTAATCCATCGACGGACCAGTTATCGAGCAGAGTAGTATTATACTCGTCATTTTTACGGTCTTTTCTTAGAAGAAATACGATACGAACCTGAAAGAATTATCGTCAGTCTTCTCAGGAAGACTTTTAATTAGCCATTTTAGAGCCCCCTTCGATTCCGATTATTTCTCATGTTTTCTCACGTATTACAATCATATGAGACCCCATCTAATGAACTAATAATGATAGACCAACCAATCACGCGTTTTGACTAATCCAAACTGGTCACAATTTCCTTTCCTTTAACACCGATTAAATCGACCAAGCGAGGAATCAAAGTTGGTGATGTGTTGTGCACTTGACCAGCCTCAGGATACCCAACGTCATCTTGTTGTAACCAGTTGTATAATAGTTCTCTGGTTTGCCTCGAAGCTCGTTTCGTGAGCAGAATTAAACGAGACTTAGGTTCAACGGCTGGACGAATCCTTGACTTCCGGTTGGTCATTTAGACAGTCAGTCGTGTTCTTCTTCCTCCTTCACATTCAAACGTATTATGAAAATCCCGATTACGATAGCAAAAGAAAAATAATAAGAAGTAAACGACATTCTTTCGTCAATTTCGCACTAAATCGTTTTGATATCTTCTCTCGTCACTTGCGGCTAGCCACAAATCTCCCCCTACCCCTCAAGAATCACGCAACGAATTACGATGTCTTCTCTCTCTCTTTGGTATCTCAATTCGATCGAGAATCGGCCTAGGGGTCTACCCCCAATCATCCAACATAATCCGAGGTATTTGCCATTAGACGCTTAACCGAGTTCCTTATTCGCAGTTTGACCATTACTCAACTACTTTCTACTTCTCTAGGTAATCGTTCGTTCTTGGACAACGCAACACAATTATACTAGTTTCTTATTTAGCTAAACATGCCATTCGACAAACATTAATCCTTTATTTTATGATAAATCATTCTCTCAATAGTATAAACACACCTTCAATCAATCGATTAAGGATGAAAATGAAAGAAAAAAACAACTCAAAGATCGTCTACTATTTAATCCTTTTTCTTCTCTTCCTTCTTTCCTTTCCTCCCCCTCTCTCTCTCTCTCTCTCTTTTTCTTCCTTCTACCTTTTCTCTTTAATATCTCCTTTCGTCAAATTAGCCCGGAGGTAAGAATGAACGACTCTCTCTTGGTTGCACATCCGTTATTACGTAGATATATACAACACATCTATGACGGTATAGTAAAGTCGTCCCTTTAACAGACGTAATTAGAACTTACCGCGCTTTCGTATGTGCATATGGCGACCGTTCTAGATGGCGTTACCATCGATACTTATCGTCGGCCATTATCGGCTATCGTCGATAATTAGAAAGCGATCTTTCTGCATTTTCTCAATGGGGAGGGGAAACATTACTCTCGGGATTGTTATCTTGAAAATTGCTATAACGTCTCCTCCTCCGGCGCCATAGACCACTCTTTCTATGACGAGGACGTTGATTAATACCAACATATTTTACTACTACTACTACTACTACTACTATGTGCTCGTACGATTATGGCGGGAAACACGATTCTTCTTCTTTTTCTTTTATCTTTTGCCGTGTATATGTATATACTTCCATAAAATATACATATTCGTAAAAAGATATACATTTTTCTTCAATCATTCGACGCGGACACAACGTTAACGTAAACACGTTATAGCGAAAATCACCAGGTTTCGTATCTTCTTATTCTTCTTTTTATTCTTCACTGGTAACACCACCATAGCAATTTATTAATATCGACGAACGGTGTGTAATATCGCGTACCAGGTCATTTCAACGTCATCAATAAACTTATACAAGATATTACGAAACGAATTGGACATAATACATTAATATTCTTTGTTAGATAATTTTTTTCTTTTTTTTTTTTCAAACGTGACTCAATTTTTTTTGTTGTTGTCTTCTTTTCAATGTGATTGAACTCTCTTCCACGTGTTCTATCGTAAAAATAAACCGGAAGTGTGGATATAAATTTTGTACGAAGTGCATTTACCGTTTCATTTTACTCGGAACTTTACTAACGTGCTTGGCAAGCTTTATAACGTTCGGCGTTAGAAAGAGAAGAATTAAAAAAAAAAAGAATTAAAAAAAACAAAACGATTATCGATGAATCGTGTCGCAAACATCGAGACTCTGTGCATCCGGCATTTCTAAGTATATACGTTTGTATATAAAAAAAAAAGATATAAGAAAAGTACATAGGAAAATGTACAATAATGCAACAACAAATTCAGTATATTTATAAATGTAAAATATAAATATAAATAAATTTTAGGACAAAGTACATTTACCTAATCTCCAACTAATCTAAATTAGTTTACCTAACCTCCAAATTAATTTATATTAGTATAATATATTATATATAATTAAGTATAATATAAATTAGTTTAGAGGTTAGTTACTAATTTATATTTATATTATTTATTATATTTTTATTATATTTATTATATTTAATATAAATTAGTTTGAAAGTTAGGTAAACTAATTTATATTAATTGGAAATTAAGTCAATATGTTTTGTCTTAAAATTTCTTAAACTTCTATTATACAAAGATGGCAACCATATGCAATTATAAAAAGAACATACCACGTTTTTTTCTTTCCTTTTTATTTTTTTTATTTTTTTTTTTTTTTTTAGATTCAAACAACGTTTTACAATATCCCCCAATAAAGTAATATAAATTGGTTTAAAAAAAAAAACAAAATATAATACCCGGTGTAAAATAAGTTGACCATAAATGATAATAAAAACATATAAATACGTAGAAAGGTTATTATAGGATCGTTTGTGGTAATATTTCAATAAACTTAAATTCAAATACTTTTAGATTCTAACGGATTGCTCTTATCTTATCCGATCCAAATGGGATAAATCGTTGCATACCCACGCGTATGGTTGCCGACAGGATGCGTGGGAGTTTTATGACTCTGAAAGCTTTCTCCGGCAGACATACTGACGACGCTTATGCGAAATGCATCGTCTCCCCATCATCTTTTTTCTTTTTTTTTTTTTTTTCTTATTCTTTTTATTAAAGAAAGATGAGCATAGATTTGGTCGATGGGAAAATAGGTGAAAAAGTGTCATGAATGAGTCAGTATCGAAACGTTTGGTTGGTAGATGATGAACGGGGAGAAGAGGAAGGAAAATGTTTCAAGTTTTACTTTAGAAAGAAAGGTACATGTAGGCAGACAATGGGACAAAGTGTCCATGAAACAAAAAAAAAAGATATTTATATAAAGAGAGAAAGAGAAAGAGGGGAGGGGATTTTTTTTTCTTCTTTTTTTTTTTGTAATCGCGAGAACGCGTAGTTCTTCGTGATTTGCATGCAATACCAACCGTAATACGATAAATATGTATGATTTCGGATGAGACAAGAGTGAAAATATATTTGATGGAATAACTACACACGTGTACTTACACAGATATATATAATTATAATGATATATAAAGTTTATCTTAATTAATATAAATAATATAATATAAATTAGTTTGAAGGTTAGGTAAACTAATTTATATTAGTTAGAGATTAGGTACTAATTTATATTTATATTTATTTTATTTATATAAAAATACTATTTTTCCAATAAAAAATTACAATTAACAGCAAGCATGTAAATAATTATAAAATCTTTTTTTTTTTTTTTAAGATACAACCTTTTAATTAATCTAATCTACGTATTCCTACAAAAAAACATTTCAAGTGCAACGAACGAAAAGTGAAACGTTTTATTTCGTCAAAAATTACTTGAAGTCAAAAAAAGAAACATTTATTTTACATCATTCCAAACGATATGTAAAATCTTATCATAATTCTAGATAAGATACGACAAACGATAAATTTGTTTAGATAAGATGATACGATTCTGATATATAATTCTTATTTAATTTTCTTCATTTTTAATCTTCTTTATCCATTAACTGAATATATATAATATGACTTAAGTAGTTCTTATTTTCTTCTTCTTCTTCTTTCTCGTTGACATATAAAATTTCATAGTCAATTTTATCTTTCAACCCTCCCCCTCCTCCCTGTTCTTTATCTGATTTAAAGGAAGATGGAAAGATATTGACTGAACTTGTACAACGTAAAATTGGCTTGGTATTAGACGAGTAATGATCAAATCAATTCATATGTATAAATACATATACAGATATACATATGTATTTATGTACAGATACATATATATATGTATACTACTTAAGAAAGTTACTCGATCCTTACGTAAGGCTCATTTAATCGAGAAATATTTCTCCTCATCTTTTAACATCTTCTTTTTCTTCTTCTTCTTCTTCTTCTTCTTCTTCTTCTTTTATATCTTCTTTCATTATTTATTTATTTATTTTTTGTTCTTTTAATTCTATCGAACCAATTACTCTCCTACACGCATTGAAAACTTAAACGCCCGCGCACCAATCTTCTTCGATAGGATGCATTAATATCTAAGTTAAATTATAAAAATATTGTGGTTATGTTTATTTAATTGATTTATAAATAATTTACAATATTAATTAAAAAGAAACTAATATGATAATATAGAAAAAAAATAGGAAAAACAAGTAGAATATGTCAGTGTATGGTCAGACATGTTCAATTGATTTCGTACGAACAGAAAAAATTGTACATAACCTATAATATCTTTCTCTCA